AAAAATTAGTATGCATCTTAGGCTTGACAAGGTCGTAGCCTCGTATATTTCGTCACTTCGTTTCTTAATATTCGAGTCTACTCCCAAAAGTAAGCAGTATAGCATAAATGTTAATATATATAAAAGGTTTGCAAAGACTCCACGAGCTTGACTTCGAACCTTTAGTTCTTGCAAATCTCACGTCATCTCAAAGGCAAATAGAATGGTATAATTTTTTTGATATCTTTGGTGAGTTTAAAATCGTGCTAGAAATGATATATCAATTTGGTTGATTTTAGCTTCCGAAGCTTAAATTTTATAGCAAGGAGATTGATAACGAAATTGAGCGCCAGTACAAATTTTAGACCTAAATTCTATATTATAGATTCATATAGCTAGAAGGACTTCTGGCCTATAATTGGGATCTTTCTGGATATTTTTTTTCGAATTTGACCCTAGAACTCCCAAAATTGCCCTACTACTGGTTAATTTTCTATCTAAAAAATATAAGTAAAAATGGAAAAACCATGTAAAATAATAAAAATATAATTTATTTTCCTAAAATCCCCTTAAATCATCCTAAATATTTATTATAGTAATATTGCCATTTTTCAAAAAAAAAGAATAAAATTAGAAAAATCATAAAAATTCAACTTAAATTTTGTCCGATTTTGATGATTGAAAGCATGTTTCTATTATAAAAAATAAAAAAAGATCAGAAAAATTAACTAAAATTCAACTTAAGTTTCGTCTGATTTTGATAGTTGGAGGCATGTTTCTATTATAAAAAGTAAAAAAAAATCAGAAAAATTGACTAAAAATTCAACTTAATTTTCATTTGATTTGATGGTTGGAGGCATGTTTCTATTATAAAAAGTAAAAAAATCAGAAAAATTCAACTTAAGTTTCGTCTAATTTCGATAGTTAAATGCATATTTCTATTATAAAAAGTAAAAAAAAATCAGAAAAATTGACTAAAATTCAACTTAATTTTCGTCCGATTTTGATGGTTAGAGGCATATTTCTATTATAAAAAACAAAAAAAAATCAGAAAAATTGACTAAAATTCAATTTAATTTTCATCTGATTTGATGGTTGAAGGCATGTTTCTATTATAAAAAGTAAAAAAATCAGAAAAATTGACTAAAATTCAACTTAAGTTTCATCTGATTTTGATGGTTAAAGGTAAGTTTCTATTATAAAAAGTAAGAAAAATAGTTTATTTTTGAAAAAGTTGACTAAAATACAGCTTTTTCTTTGTCTGATTTTGATAGTTAAAGCGAAAATTGACTAAAATTCAACTTAGGTCTTTTTATTCTTGGGATAATTTTTTTTCAAGATTTTAGTGAAATGTAAAAAGAGAAAATTTAGAAATGATTGAAATTATTTTTTAAAAAGTTAAAAAATTAAGTTTATTTATATAAATATTCTTATATATCAGAAAAAACTCAAATAATACATTAAATCAATATTATTTTAGCAAATCGGTTTAATCTGAAAGTTTAGTATATTAGAACAATAATATCATCATATCTTAGAAATGATAAAACCATCGTCCTTAAGGAATGATAAAACTATTGTTCCTTAGGTATAATAATACCATCATTCCTAAGGAATGATAAAACCATTGTCTCTAAGGAACGGTAATACTATCATCCCTAAGGAACGATAATACTATCGTCCCTAAGAAATGATAATACCATTGTATCTTAGGAACGATAAAATCATCATCTTTAAGAAATGATAATACTATCATTCCTTAGGTACAATAAAACTATCATTCCTAAGGAATGATAATATCATCATTCCTTAGAAATAATAAATGCATCTTACCTTAGGAATGATAATACCATCGTTTCTTAGGTACTATAATACCATTGTCCTTAAGGAATGATAATACCATCGTTCTTAAGAAATGATAAAACTATTGTCCCTAAGGAACGATAAAATCATCGTCCTTAAGGAATAATAAAATCATCGTACCTTAAAAATGATAAAATTATCATCTCTAAGAAACGATAATATCATTCCTTAGGTATGATAAAACTATCATACCTAAAGAATAAATAATACCATCATTCCTTAGATACGATAAAACAATTGTTTCTTAGGAATAATAAATGCATCATACCTAAGGAACGATAATACTATCATTTTTTAGGTATGATAATACCATCGTTGATAAAACAATTGTTCCTAAGGAACGATAAAATTATCGTTCTTTAGGTATAATAAAATCATCATTCTTTAGGTATGATAAAACCATCGTTTCTTAGGTATGATAATACCATTATCTCTAAGGAACGATAAAATAATTGTACCTTAAAAACAATAAATTATCATACTTAAAATATAAAAAATGCATCGTTCCTTAGGAATGATAAAACCATCTACCTTATGTATAATAATACTATCATTCTTAAGGAACGATAATACCCTATCGTTCCAATCAAACGTTAATTAGTTATAAATAAGATAGGTCAAATTTTGATATATACCAATCAGCTATAAGTATGCCAATCAGCTATAAATAATATAGGTTGAATTTTGGCCGATTTTTGATGTATGCCAATCGGCTAGGCTAATTTTTGATAATTTGCCAAATTTAGGCTGAATTTAGATTGATTTTAGGCTGATTTTTGCATGTCTGATTTTTTTGATTTTGACCAGTGTTAAAAAGTCAATGCAGTTATTTTTACGAATAGAAATAGAATTAATTATTAACTTTTTGTAAAATTCAATAAAGAAAGGCTTAATAAACATGTTAAACTTAAATTTTAATTTTAATTTTGTAAACCATATATAAATTTTTTAATATTGAAAAGTGGTCAGATCATTCAGGTTATCATCTGTATTCTTAATAATGAATTAAATATTATATCTACTTTTTGAATCAGTCATATTTAACGATCAGCTGATCAAGGTGTTATTATTCTAGAGATCTATATTTCTGATCTAATTAATATAAATCTTAATTCTATTGTAAATATTGAAAAAATTCTTCTTTATATAGAAAATATATCAAATATCAAGAACGAAACTTGTAAATAGATAGCTATAAACTATGATAGTATTCTATATCATTATGCTACAGTGCAGAACCTCTATAATAGGAAGTTAGAAAATTATAAATAAAATTTGAACTAGTAATCAGATTTCAATTAAATAAAAAAAATTAAATTTTATTTGTAAAAAGGAATTGGTTTAAAAATTTTTTAAAATTTTCAATTATGTAATCATCACGTGATTATAATATTAGCCAATCAAAAGTTAGAATTCAATATATTATGTAAATTATTTATTTTATTTCATTATAAATGCTATCAAGTACACGACGATGAGATTTATATTTTTTAGCAGCAAATTCTGCCATTTTTCCAGTAATACCTTTTCTATAAATATCCATATACCGTCATGATTTTTGTACATATTTACGAATTATAATTAAAAAAACTGAATCTAAAGTTTTAGGAACCGTTTGTTGTAATCCTGTCTATGTATAATTATAATATTCTCTTATGTATCTCTTTGCTGCATCCTAATATATTTCTATATAATTTAACTCACAATGATATTTAGGGTAAAAAATATATTTATGATTACGCTTTTTAATTTCTTCTTGAAGTTGAGATTTTTGTTCTAAGAAATCTGGCTGTAATAATAAAATTCAACGTGCATAACAATCTACTCTATTCATATCTATAACTTTTGTTTTTCCTTTACATAGTTGACAATCAGCCAATAAATTATTTTTCCATAAACCTCTTTTAATTAATATTTGTTTCATACCTTTTGGTTGATTTGGATATTTTAAATAATCATGTGGAAAAACCATAGATTGAAAAGTTTGATTTGGTCCATAATAAGTTGAACGGATATATGGTTGTTTTCCTTCTAGATTCATATTCATTTTAAAAGCATTTAATCTATCTTTTGCCATTGTATCATGATTGGTACTATTATCAAATGCAAAAACAGCTATTGCATTAGGATATAATGTTTCAAAGATTGGAATTGCTAAATTTATTACTTGATCTAAAAAATGATCTGCAGTCTACCAACCCTCATCATTTTTACCTGAATATAAATATTTTCTTGCTTCTTTAGGAATATTTGAATAATTTGTAACAAGTTCATCGGTAAGTTTAAGTCATCCAATAGTTTCCAATAAAAATTCACTAACCATTATAGATTTGCCTTGATCTTTTTTTCTAAGCGGTGGTTTGCCTAATAGAGCCTAAACAATCGGACAATTATTATTAGCATAAAAAAGGCATCATCATGTATTACTAAAATATGTAACTGTTCTTCATTTTTAAGTTCTGGAAGAATCATTTGCATTTCATTACCAATAAATGTTGGCATTAGTTTTTCAAATTCTGCCATAATTTTTAAAAATTGTTCCTGATATTATAATACATCTTTACGTTCATGTCCATCAAAATATACAACTTTTTTTCGAGATTGAGGAGTCAAACCCAACTTATAAAGCCATATTCTTGCTATTTTTATTGATATTGACCTTATAATACCCATTTGAAGAAAAAGTTTTAATATTATAAATTCTCTATACTGTTGTGGTATTATTCTTCCGCTATTGGAATGAATAAATGTCAAACTACAATTAATAATATCCTTATCATCAATAAATGATTTTATTTTTTGATAATAACCTTGTAATGAAATAGGTAATGCATTATATTTAATCCAATAATCACCTAATTTATGAATTACTCTAGATCTATAAATTCTTTTACTATAAATTTCCTCTAATGCTTTCTCATTTGCCTTCATCCGTGTTAATCTATCTTTTTTTTAATATGTAAAATATGCATATATAGACCGGTATCTTAGGTAATCATATACATTTTGCTTTTATTATTATTCAAAATAATTTGTTCTAATTTTTGTAATTTTTGATTAAAATCACAATCGTTATTATTTTGAATATCATTATCTACACTTTCTTCTAATTCTTGACGTGATGTTTCCATCAAATTCAAACTATTTATTTCAACATTCTAATCATTTAAAAAGCCTGTTTCTGAATCACCTTTAGCTAATAAATCATCATCTTTTATACCAGCCGATGAATCATCATCTCTTGCATCAGCAAATGTATTATTATTATCCTTTGTACCAACCAATGCATTATTATTACCCTTTGTATTGACCAATACATTATTATCATCTTTTGTACTAATCAATGCATTATTATCGTCCTTTATACTGGCCAATGCATTGTTATTATCTTTTACATTAGTGGATATATAATCATCAATATCATCTAATATATTATTAAATTGTTTAATTTAAATCAATATTTATAAATTAATTTTAACAACGATTT